TTGACAGTGGGGTGTTCAGGTCCCCTGCTATTATGGTATTAGTGTCTATTTCCTTCTTTATGTTTAAAGGAGTTTGTTTTTAAATCTGGCTGCTCTGACATTGGGTATATATTTATGATTGTTATGTCTTCTCAATGGATCAATCCTTTTATCATTACATAGTGTCCCTCATTGTCTCTTTTTATGGTTTTTAGTTTAAAGTCTATTTTATCAGATATAAGAATAGGTACTCTGGCTCATTTTTCTTTTCTGTTTGCATGGTAAATCTTTTTCCATCCTTTCACTCTTAGTCTATGTGAGTCTTTATGGGTGAGGTGGGTCTCTTGAAGGCAACATATAGTTGGGTCCTCCTTTTTAATCCAGTCAGCCAGTCTGTGTCTTTTGATTGGGGAATTTACACCTTTTACATTAAGAGTTGTTATTGAAAAGTGTTGATTTATTCATAGCATTTTATTGTTATTGTTTGGTTGTCTTAGGTGTCTTTTGTTCCTTCCTTTCTGGTTTACTGTTTGTTTTCTGTTTTTGTTGGTTCCTTGGGTTGTAGATAGCTTTTTTGTTTGTTTGTTTGTTTTCTCTTCATGAATGCCATTTTTATTATACTAGTGGGTTTTGATTTTTCTTGGGTTTTTATGGCAGTGGTAGTTATTTTTCAGGTACCAAACCCAGGCCTCGCTTTAGAATTTCTTGTAAGGGTGGTTGTGTGGTGGTGAACTCCCACAGTTTTTATTTGTCTGAGAAATATACTATTTGCCCTTCATTTCGGAAGGATAGCCTTGCAGGGTAGAGTATTCTTGGCTGACAATCTCTGTCTCTTAGTATTTTGAATATATCATCCCATTCCTTTCTGACTTTTAGGGTTTGTGATGAAAAGTCTGATGTTAGTCTGATTGGGGCTCCTTCATAGGTGATTTGATGCTTCTCTCTAGCAGTTTTTAAGATTCTCTCTTTGTCTTTGAGTTTGGCCAATTTGACTATAACATGTCTTGGGTTGAATACGTTTGGAGATCGTTGAGCTTCCTGGATCTGAAGATCTGTGATTTTTCCTACACCTGGGAAGTTTTCTGCCATTTTGTTGAATATGTTTTCAATGCAATCTCCTTTTTCCTCCCCTTCTGGAATACCCATGACTCGGATATTTGAGTGCTTAAGGTTGTCTGATATCTCTCTCAGATTTTCTTCAATGCCCTTGATTCTTTTTTCTTTTCTTTTTTTGTCTGCTTGTGTTATTTCAAACAGCCAATCTTCAAGTTCAGAGGTTCTCTCTTCAACTTCCACAAGCCTGCTTGTTAAACTCTCTGTTGTGTTTTTTATTTCGCTGAATAAATTGTTCAGTTTGGCAAGTTCTGCTACATTTTTTTTCAGGGCATTGATTTCCTTTTACATTTCTTCTTTCAGGTCCTGTATACTTTTCCTCATTTCATCATGATGTCTAGCTGAGTTTTCTTATATCCCATTCAGTTTCCTTAGAATTATCACTCAAAATTCTTTGTCAGTCATTTCAAGGGCTTCTTGTTCTATAGGATCTAGAGCTTGAGAGTTATTACCCTTTGGTGGTGTACTTTCTTGATTTTTCATATTTCTGTTATCTTTTCTTTGATGTTTATTCATTGTGGCAAGAGGTTTCACAGTCCACAGGTTTGACACTATTGTCAGACTATGATGTTGCTGTGGTTGTCAATTTGATATGACTACCTCAGTGACTGCACAGTTGGCCACTAGTGCCTTGCATGTGTGGTTGCCTTGGGTCTTGGGTCTCTCCGGGGAGCCACCTCTCTGGTCAGCTTGGACTCAGCCGGGCTGCTGGGTCACTGGGTGGTACTGCAGGGTGTGTGGTCTCTGCTGAGCTTCTACCTCCTGTGCTGGATTTCTCCCTGTTCCGTGCACTCTGGGCCAGGCTGCTGGGACACGTGGAGGCACCACAGAGCATGTGGTCTCTGTGGAGCTTCCCCTTCCCCTGCTGGATGTCTTCCTGTTCTGTGCGCGTTAGACTGGGCTTGGGATGGAGCCGAGTGGCAGTGGTGAAGCCTACCTGCTGCTGGATCGCACAGCAGCAGCCCACCCACAGGGTGTGTGGTCTCTATGGAACTTCTGCCTCCCCTGCTGGATGTCTCCTGGCTCTGTGTGCACTGGGCCAAGCTGCTGCTGGATCACGCAGTGGTGGCCCCACAGGATGTGTGGCTTCTGTGGAGCCTCTGCCTCCCATGCTGGACATCTCCCCACTGTGTGTGCACTGGGCCAGGCTGGGAATGTAGCTGGGTGGCAGTGGTGAAGCCTATCTGCTGGATCATGTGACAGCAGCCCCACAGGGCTTGTGGTCTCTGTGGAGATTCTGCCTCTCCCACTGGATGTCTCCCCATTCTGTATGCACTTGATGTTGTGTTTTTATAGTTTAAATCGGTTGATTTGTGGGAGAGAGTTATGCTAGGGACTGTCTATTCCACCATCTTGACTGGAAGTCGAGGACTATCTAAATGTATAGAAAGATTCACACTTCCTAACTTACATATAAATCTACCAATTTGATTTGGAAACTAATTCTTCTTTGCCTGCTTTTGCTTTTGCTGAATGAATTACTAGTGTGAAAGGCTTTCCCATATTTGCATTTGATGAAAAGCACTTTAAAAAGCAAAACCTTTGTTGTGCTTTTTGTTTGGGGGGACTTGGTAGTGCTGCCTCACCTGTGAATGACTGTGAATAAATCATCAGTTATTCCAGGTTTGTTTGGAGACATGAACACACCTCCCGCTTCAGCTTGAGAGTCTTCACTGAGTGGTGAAATGACAGAGTCATCGCTTGGTGATGATTCTTAAAATAAGAACAGAAACATTTTGGGGAGTAAGTAACTCAGGGAACAGACAGGAGTTACCTTACTGCCATTTTTTAAAATGGGATTATCTGTCAAAGCTTAGTCCCTCAGTAACAAAAGCTTTTATCTCAATTGTTTTAATAAGTGAAAAGAAATAGCGGAGGCAAACCATCACCCAGGGCCGTACACTATTGTGAGGACTGTAAGAAAGAAAAACTTCAGGAAGTGCCATGGGATGCATTTCCATTGTGACAAAGATATCAACGACTGACCTTTCAATGAAGCCTCATCTACACCTTCTTGGGTCTCCTCCACTCTGCCATTATCAGAGGCACTTTTGGGTGAAATACCTAAAACAATATTTTCCTGCTTGGAACATTTTTCAAGGAACAGATTTACCGTTGTCACCTCTGATTCACAGCTGAAATTCCCAGGCACTTTGTGGTGGTGGTGGCTCATAATGAGTTGATGCTTAAGTTGACTGCTTAAGTCTGCTGCTCTAATTGCTGAGTTTGACTGAGATATGATTACATCCCCAGATTCAGGTCGTGCGACTTCCTCACAATCTACAGAGAATGCCTTCTGTACCTGCTCTCGGGTTCCATCTGGACCAGGTCTGTATAGTACTATTTTACCATCCAAGTCATTTGGGTGGGCAGCAGAGACCCTCTGAAATCCTTCTGTAGAAAAATCACAGTTTTTATTTGGTGTGTTTCCTGGAATAGGCTCACTGTCCATATGAATTTGGTCGTTTGTGACATTTGCATCTAGAAGAGTGCTACCAGCTGAGGTTACAGTTTCTGGATTGCAATGATTCTTCATATCAAAAGTAGGTTTTGGTTTTTTTTTTTTTTTCTAAATATAGCTTATCTGGTCCCATCTGAATTGCAGAGGAGTCTAAAAAGGACAGTTTGGTGTCTTCAGTGGAGTACTGATGTGACATTGATTTCTTTGCTGTATGTGGCTTAATCTTACCTGGAGACAAGGCAGCCATCATGAGAGCATTTTCCTCTAAGTAGGGGAGATCTGTACTGTTGCCTTCTTTTTGCTTAACTTCTTCAGACTTACTGATGGACCTAAGGTTAACAGATTTCAGTACTGTTGGTGTAATTGCAAAGGATGGTGGAGGATTTGACCTCAGTGTTTCTCCCACTGTGTTCTGCTTATGAGCAAGAACATGCAGTGGATGACGGTGGTGGAATGGTTTATTCAAGACATTATGAAGAGCACTTAGGTCAAGATGGGTAGGAAGTATAATTGGAAGTTCAAGGTCTTTACTCAGTGATAGGGCTCCATCTTTTAAAGAGGGTTGCTGTAGTGAGGATTTCCTTTCTAGGACTTTAGGTTTTCTTTTGCTACCTCCAGGAGACAGCGGACCTGAAAAGAAAGCTGTAGGGAAAGAGGATGTTGGCATTTCAGACTGGCTTGAATAGCCACTTGATGGAGATGCAAAGCCAGCCAGCTTTTCTGGTGAAGTCAGTTTAAACTCATTGTCAACAGAAGGAAGAGATGGGGTGGTGGCTCTTGATTCTGATTGGGATGTTTGGGATTCAGAGCTCTCTGGAGATTTGATGCATTCGATAACTGTAGTACCCGTAGCAGTGCTCAAATTAGATAAAGATCTATAGGCATCATTTGTTTTCAAGTCATTTAGAAGCCAGAGGTCTGCATAGTGAGTAGATTCAGCACCTTCATCTTTGAATGGTGGAATATCTGAAGTGTCTAACTGAGGTTCCTTAATACCGTGTTCACTCTGGTTCTTCCAAGAAGGTTCTTGCTTGGTGGGAAGATTGGCATTTTCCATTCGAGAAGGCCTGTTGGAGAAATCAAAAGGCAGCTTCATTTCCCTGGAACTGTGAGGCAGGTGCTGACCACTGCTTATCTTTGGTTCTTTCTTCTCAGAAATGTCTGTGTTTCCATCGGACTTCCTTAATGATGAGGCTACGTTTGGGTGGGGTTGGCTTTGCCTTTGGTTCCTGAAAGAGATGCTTGGGCTCCCCTGCCTCCTGTGGTCTAAGTAGTCCTGCCAGGTACAGTCTGGAAGACCAGGAGGAACCCCAACACCCTGGCCATTTTCTGGGCCTAGGGCTGCATAGTGACAGACATAGCTCTTATTACGTTTGCGACCACAGTCAAAGTGCATGGAGGTACAGTAACCTTCTGTGTCTACCGAAAAGTGGGAGCTAGTGTCTGCTTTGTCCAATGGAGACTTTTCCAGAAAGCTGTCATAAGTGGCCATGCTTGTGAAGCTCGGGCAGCCCAGGCCATATGCCTTGGGATGCTCAGGACTAAAATCCTGGTGGCAGGAGGCATTGTGATTGTGATGCAGGTAATTCCACTCACTGTCGCTTGTGTTGCTGTTGTTGGGGTCATCCAGCAGATCTGCGATGGTGGAGGTAAAGGAGTTTGCCCGGTGACCTCTCACCTTATCTAAGTGGTCACTGTACTGCTCTGTCACGAAAAAGGCACTGACTTCCTCATTAGCATGAGGGGCCATGTTTAGTGATAACTCCGAGTCACAGTGCAAAGAGCCAGTGAGCGGAGGAGAAGCTGCGGGAGGGATTGTTTCCGAGGTCTGTGAGGGGCACGTGGAGCTGCTCCCACTCCAGTTACCACTGGATGACTGCTGGTCGTCTTTCTGATCCATGTGGCTGCTGAGGAGGACGCCAGCCATAGAGATGCAGTGGATGGGGCTTCCAAAGGTGTCTGAGTTGGAGGAGATATCGCACCTGCCAGAGTTGGCAGCCATTTGGGACAGACACGACTTCCTTCTCTCACTTAGCTTGTGCAGCAGGCTGTGAAGATGCTGAGAACAGGCCAGGCCCAGAGCAGGCTGGCGTTCCTGTGTGCTTGGACTGCTTGGAGCCTCACTGCAGTCATTAGGGGTCCTCTCATGGTCACCCATGAAAGGATCTCCCTCTTTATATGCTGAGGGTTTAGCACCGACTTTGGGCTCAGCATCCCCACCTCTATTACCCTCCCGGGGCAGGCTGCGAGATCTTGTGCGGCTGTTCACTGCAGTAGTAAACACGGCATCGCCTTTGTCTGCCAGTGCAGAAATGTTGCCAGTGGAATGAGAAAGGGAAGTGGCAATGCTCTGGCCCCTCTGAGCTCTGATTCTCCTGCTGGAGGGGGCAGCAATTGGAATGTCCTCGGTTTGGCACTCAGAGTCCCTGGTTCCGCACTGCCTGTTGGCAGAGTTGGAGGGGTCTGGGTTTGTGTGCACAATGACATTCCCTTCTCTGGCCACTGGCAATTCATCAGAATCTAGGGAACATGGAATGTACAGTGAGATATTTTGCACAGTAGCAGACTGATAGCCATTCCAAGATATGTCCACAAATCTGTTGTGCTGGCATGGTAGAGCTTTTCTTACAGAAAAACATCAATATTTAAAATTAGGAGAAAGTTAAAATGCTTTGGGGAATCTCTCTCTCAATCTGTGTGTGTGAGTGTGTGCGTGTACATATATAAGTATGATATATACATCTATATATGTATGTATGTATATATACTAAAGGAAGATAGGCTTTTTTATCTTTTGTGAATTATGTCTCTTTTCAGTATCATATTAGTTTGCCCTAATAAGTGACTACTCTTTTAAAGAACTAAAGTACATTTTATCTTCTTGGCCACTACTCTTCATTTTTATTTTGTTATATAAACATAATGGAATAAAAATTATATACTTCATTATAAAGAATAAAAACCTCGTGTACAAGAGCTGCTGTTATAATAATACTAAAAAAACACAGGCAGAGATATTCTAAACACATTGAACAGAAAAAAAAAATTGAAAAAAATGCCACCAAGGGTATCATATTATCGATATTCAAAATTTATTAGAGTATGCTTAAAATTTACTTTTTAAAGTAATTAATGCCATGAAAGCATATCTTGCTTCAAATAAAGTTACACTTTTGCAAAAAAAATAAAGTCTTTCATTGAATCCTGTTACTTTTTATTTACAGTTTCTACCCTTAAAAACTTTAAGGAATTATCAAAATATTACATTTCAGCCATAAGGCCTGAACGTATATGCCTAAATCTATAAGGTCAACCCAAACCTTCACCATCGAGAACAGAGAGTTAAGAAGTAATACCACCTGGCTACAGGACATACCCAATTTCAAAACCTCTCCAATTAAAATGTTTCATATTTCTAAGGAAACCAGTTGAAGGCCGGCTTCCATTTCATCTTAGAATCTGCACTAGACAAAATATGAACCATTACAATTTTTTATACCACACCTATTTCTTGTTGAACTCTCCTGGGGATACCCAAGATGGTTTTTCTCCTTTTTAATTTTCATCTCCGCTGAAGCATAGGTTGTGAATGAACCAGAGAGCAGCATATGCGAGCTTCTGTGTCAAAACCAACTCCTGTAACCCACACATAGGTCTCATTAGTCTTTAGAAATGGCAAACAAATTTTCATTTGCTTGGAACACAGTGATATTTATTGACTGGAAGTAAGGGAAGAGTTTGGATTAAGCCTGTGAACAAATATAAGGGAGCCCTTATTCAGCTCTTATTTAAATTGTGCTGCAATACATTAAGCTTTACTTCTAAATGCAGCTCTCCACAACAGCTTGCACTGCCAAAAGTAACAAGCAAAGGAGGAAAATCAAAAGAAAGAGAAAAAGACATTAAAAAAAAGTCATGCTCACACAGAAATGGCTCTTTAAGGATTTATAACTATTATTTAGTTACTATTATTTACTGGTCTATTTCTGGGCTCTCTGAAACTGATACCTTTGCATAGTACATCAGTAGCCAAGATGTTAACCTGGATTAGTTCAGCTAACATATCTTGACCCATTTCTTCATTAAAAGTGTCTTTGTTATTTCCCCCCTCTACTTCCTATGCCCAAACCTTCCCCTCCAGGCACACACTTGCTGTGAGGTAAGTCAACAGTCTAGGGATTTGTTTTTTTTAATTATCACCTAATTCTGTCCACTTTCTTCTGCTGATTGAATTGGATGCTTCTTGGTTTAGCATCAGGTATCTTATCAGTAAAATAAACATGTAGGGTAATCCCCAGTTCTGCACTTAAATAGATCCATCTTCTGTACCAACTATAAAGCTGGAATTCCCAGTCATTATACCATTTGTTTGCTTGGTTTTGTAAACACAGGGGGCAAACCATGATGCTCCTTAGTTTCTCTCTCCATAATCACATTAATGACACTATATGCAGTCCTATCAAAACTGGAACGATGCAACGGAGGTGACAAACTCAGACTCTTGTCTAGCACAGGCATGCACTGTAGATTTTTCAGAGTGAGCTTTGCCTCAGAAAGCTATAATGCTGTGCTTTGGAATTTGATCACCTCATCAATTATCCTGACTGTTAAGCATGAGGCTGGATAGCATGTTAAATCTTGGTTCAGCTGTATAATGAAGCAGTTAAATTCTGCTTAGCATTGCAGTGCCAACAGTTTCTGGAATTCATTTTGAAAAATCCTTATGAGACATCACATGATGAATAATTATGGTATTATCAGGGAATTCATACTAATGGAATTTTCCTTTCTTAGTTCCAACCAAAATTAAAATCCTTCATTCTAATCTTAATAATTATAGAACACATGGAATACAGACACAGACATAGTACGTTACATGCATATCATTAACAATATTCTCATTAAAGCTCTTGAAATCAACATCTAATCTAGGTTTTAGTCTGAGAGTTCCTGAAATAAAGCAGAAGGGAAAAATCTTTCCTTTTCCTTAATTGAGAATCAATGGCCCATAATCACAGTACTAAATTTGAAAACAAGATTTTACTTATGGTGCCATGAAGAAAGCAGGTGCTGCTAAGAATCAGATGTTCCCAGAACTGAAAATTAATTTAAGAGGGTGCTAAAATGATCTATTTTTGGCAGCTGAACACCCCTAATAAATCCCATTTAGATTATGGAGATCAGATAAATGCACATCTTTGAAATAATTTATGCTACAAGTCGAATAGGTCATCAGGAAAATTAACTCTCAGTTTATGACCAGCCAATCAACTAGAACTCCCTTTTTTTTCAGTAAGGAAAGAATATCTGTCCCGGATACCTGGTCCATTTGCTACCTACATTATGTGACAGAAATCTGAGTAGGGTTAATAATAATAGCCATGTCCAAAATGAAATCTTTAGTCACATGGTACAAAGATGAAAATCAGCCTTAAGGTGGGTATTTTGTCATTTTCAATATACAAATAAGTAAAAATGTAACAATTAGAGATGTTTAAAGAAGCTTCATGGATAGATAATTTAATTTCTGTCTTTGAGAGTTAGAATACTTGCTTACATTTTTTTACTTACATGTAAAATTACCAGATCCAATTCTGGAATTTACAATTGCTACTAATAAACTTTGAGGAAAAGTCCAGCTAGGCTTTATTCTACCTAGACTAATATTCAAACTCTCAATACACAGGAGGAGAAAAGCAGAGAGTGAAAGGAAGACAGGCTTGATGGTTTTATGATAGGGTTCACACTTCATCTACGTATCCATATATATTAAGGTCAAAACCCCCTAAAATCAATATGGAAATCCACATGGTCTTTTCAAATAAGCCTACTTTCATCCTAGGAAGCATGAAAACAGACTTTCTAGTTGGTCTGCAGGACCATTGCTGGCAGTTTTAGAAACCTGGGGCTTTGGTGTTTTCTTTCTTGCAGCACCACACATCATTATCATATGATCAATCACTACCTCTTTCTCCATTGTTTGTCAGCTATGACCAAAGAGCTGTTTGGTGATTTTCTTTCTTTCTTTTTTTTTTTTCAAAAAGAAAGTGTCTGTCATTTACATAAAAAGCGGCCCAGCAGAACATATGCAAATTGATGTTCAAAATCTGACAAAAGCCTATCTTCCAGGTTGTATTTTGATGGAAAAGGTATTCCTTGTTTACAAAATGGTGTTCTTAATTGGTGGGCCCAGCAACACAGGATTTGAACATATTGAATATGCAGAATATGACCCAACTGCCCTTAAGAAAAAAACAGAACGCTACCAGTGACATTGAAGGGAATAATGCAAAAAGAAATCACTTGGGCATCTTGTTTCATCTTCTCCTCCGGCGTCAGGGGAGAGGTAGTGCTTTGCTCCAGTTGGTCTGCTTGTCCAGTGTAGAGGGGATATTGTGTATTGGGTTTTTTGGCCTCTGCCCTAACATGACATCTGTATCTTCATCCTCTGGAGGATGGGACTGCAAACAAAGTACATTTAGATTCAGCCATCAGAGTTTGCACATAAAGGGCCAGCCCGGTGGCGCACTGCTACAGTGCGCCACTTGGGAGCGTGGCAGTGTTCCCGCCAACGGTTCGGATCCCACATACAGACCAGTTCCTGCTCACTGGCTGAGCGAGGTGCGGGTGCGACACTGAGGGTTGCGATCCATTGCCGGACACGAAAAAGAGACAAAAAAAAGGAAAAAAAAAAAAAAAAAAAGAGTTTGCACATAAGCACTCATCTAAGGAATTGCATAGTTTAGATAAGAAAAAATGAGGTCAGAAATAAGCTTTTAGGACAAGAGAAGAATTCCTAGAAATAGTAAGCACGACTAATTGAAAGTATTATTTCAATAGTCAAGTAACACAAAAGAAAAAAATGGGTTAAATAAACATGCTTTTCAGGTTAAATGGAATTAAGAGGAGAGACAAGGTAACCAGATATCTCTAAACTTCCAACCGAAGAAAACTTAGGGCCTCTAATCCAGTGAAAGTTAGATGCACTTTCTGGCTATCTTGCCACAAATTTCTATTGAAAGTCTTGAGAGCGCTCAATGATGATGACTAGGATCAAGGAAAAAAAGAGTTAGATGCCTATGAAGAGGTTCAGAAAACGTGCAAGAAAAGCTGCAGTCAGGAGACATTCCAGAACACATCACCTCAAGGACAAACCAAACTTATCTGAGAGGCTGCATTAAAACACAAGGAGTTAACTTCACTGAGGGATTAGGCATTTGGGTATAATATTTTAAAAACTCAGTTTCATCAACACTATATGCAAATGAAAAAGCCAAAGTGAAGAATTTCCCCCCACCGACTGTAGTGGAAAATATGAATACTGTTACTGGGGGGAAAGATTTATGTGGGTTTCTTTTTCAAATTTGGAAGGATAAAACAGTCCTAGTTTATTTTCTTTCAGCTTTTCAGTGCAAAACTTTCCTTCCGGCTGTGTAGTTAGAGGCTTTGATTTCCATATGACATTTGAAATTTCTCCCTCCAAACCTTCGATAAACATTAATATTGTCTAACTTTTATTTCAGGGTTGAACTCCTTGCCCAGATTATTAAAATGGCTCTGTCCCAGTTGATTGATTTCAGAGTTGGGTTTCTAAACCAGATTATTAAAAGACTCAGGTTTCACTACTCAACCTAGTTTTATTTCAATATACAATTTGGAGGAAGGTGTGTATCTGTATAAAATAAATATGTTTTCCTCTTATTCCAGGAAGGTTTTAGTAATATTCTATCCTAAAATCAGGATCATTTAAAAAAAAAATTTCTTGTCCTCACACTTGGAAACATCATGCCCTATTGACTCAGAGGACTTCACATATTGTCAAATGGACTGTTCTCAAGTCCCCGTAAAGAGCAGATTCCAGAGCCACTTGTTTAAAATAACTCCCCACATTCACTTATCTTGTCAGAGGTTTCTGCAAAGCCCCGCAATGCACTCGACAGGATATGATTCCCCTCCTCGGGATAAATGTGTTCTCCATGAATGTTTTAGTAAAATATTGCAAATGTCTCTCTTCAGCTTTTGTGCAGATTCTCAGTGAAGCGAATAGCTCAAATAAAGTTCGAGCACAGAAGACTTTGTTTCCTAGGTAACTTCCAAAAAGAAAAAAGTTTGTTGCATGCAAAAAGGGAGCGAGAGAGAGCTAGCATCAGAGAGAGCAAGTGCTAGAGAGAACCCCCCACCACCAGAGGCCTTATTTTGTAGGCGATTCCTTCCTTGAATAACAATGGACTGGGAAACAAGGAAAGGATAGTAACCTGACCACAGGCTCTGACCAGCAGCCAAAAGCACTTTTTATTTAGTGGTGACAGGGACAGCTCGCTGCCAGAGAATCTTTTTGTTCTGTTCTCTTTTTGGATTGGAGAAGCTGAACCTTTACGGTTCTGATAAATGTAGGGCAAGTTGGAATTTCTCTCCTCTGAAGTACAAAGACCAGGAGCAGCTTTAGGTGATGCCTGTGTTGAACAGAGCCTGGGTTGCAACTTGTGGGCGGGGGTGGGGAGAAAATGGGGACAAAAGCCAATGGCATGGCTGTCTAAATTATATTTTATTGAATTTAAATTAGCAAAATACCACTCTTTAAATTGATTTAAAAGACAAACTGTTAGTTAGAAATAAGAGTCTGCAGTAAAGGTAAAAGAGAAGAAAGGGAGGATGTCTGGAGAGAGCAGGATAGGGCTGTGAAGGGATGTTCTTAAGCCAGTACCTTTCTACTCCATGGGGTCATGTGGCAACACTCAGTGGGGGAGGGCGAATGGGTGCTGTTAAACTATGAACATGAAATGCAAAACAAGAAAAAAAGATTAAAAACGTGTACACAACAGACAGTGTACCCTGGTTAGACCAAATCTATGACATTAATGAATGAAGGTACTGGGATAATGCCTGCCTTCCTTTCTTCCTTCTAAATTAGTTTTTCAGTCCCAGCCATCCCGTGCCCCTTTCTCAGAGGTCCAGATCCCAGCTCTGTGTGGTCCTTCTTCTGAGCTCCCACTGCATTAGCACCTGTCAGGCATCATCCCCTACTCGGAGGCCTGGGTCCCAGCTCTTCTGGGCCTTCAGAGCTTCAGAGCTGCCAAGGCACCAGGACCACCAGGCCATGCCCGTCTTCGAGGGTGTGGGTTTTAGCACCGTAGGGCTGCTCTAATAACTCCAGTCCCTTCCTTCTGTTCCCCCAGCCCTAGGACCGTTAGCTGTTTTGCTTGCTCCTGTTGCTGTCTTGGTGTCATCTAAGTTTCTCATTTGCCTTGTCAGTCTTCTCATAACATCCTTGTATTAAATTCCCTGTTAAAACAGCTGGTGTGGTTTGTGTTTTCGTGTCTGGACCCTGACTGATAAAACACACGGTACCAAGCTTTCGCCCTCTGGCTTGCTGGTGTCTAAGGCATCTAAAGTCCTTGCTACTTCCTGTCCTGAGGCTAATCAGGAAAATATGATCTGGAGTGATATTCTGTGGGGTGTCTAGATGATAATGATCTCTGTAACTTATGTTATGGCAGGGAGGAGAGCTGACGTGGTTGCAAAAGCAAACTGCCTCTGGTGATCCCTGAAAATGGGTGTAGAGGGGGAAAGAATTTGCTGTGGTCAATAGCTGTATCATTCTACATTCCAGGTGCTGTGCTGATTTGCTCCAGGGAAAATACCATCGGAGCAATATGTACAGTTAAAGTCACTAGCTATTTACAGCCAGCTTCCAAGATCTATCTACCGTCTGCTAAGACCAAAAAGTGAGGGAAATGCGGGTGTGATAGGCATCACTGCTCCTGCAGTCTTATGTGTGAGACTAACGTCAAGCTCTTCTCTCCCTACTAGGCCAAAAAGGAACCTATAGACACTGAAGAAATTAATCCTATGCACATATACTCCGATACTGTCAGAAAGCACAGCTCCTTCTGATAATAGTTATTTCTGTGCTTAAAACCCTTCAATGATTTGCTAGGCTTATGGAATAAATTCAGACATTTTAGTGTGACATTTGATCCTTCAAGATCTGGCCTGTTGAAGCATTACAGCCAGTGCCCTGCATTCATACACCCCAGGCACCAGCCAAAACAGAGTATCGAGCTCATGTGGACACACTCTATCTTCTCCTGCATCTTGTGGGTTCCTAAGCCTGTGGTCCTTTTCTTTAAGGTATTCATATCAAAACTGTACTCCATCCTCCAAAGCCTTCTCAATGTTACCTTTTCCATGAAGTTTAATCCTACCACCCCACCCCACTCCAACAGTAAGGTATGAACACCTTATAGTCAATATAGTACAATTGCCTCTGGTATCCATGTATGCGGGATGGCAAAAACTATGTCTCAGTCATTTCTGTACCTAGAACTTATTAATAGTAGGTGTTTAGTCATTTTTTAAAAAAATAAATGAAAGGCCACAATGAGAAAGAGGGAATTCCAAGTAGAGATATTGTTTTTAAAGTGCAAAATATTTTCTGGAAAACCACCTATAGCTTGGTTTGGCTGAGATCTAAGGTCTGTGCAAAGGATTTGTGAGAATTCCATTTGGAAAGGAAAGTTAGGACCCAATTGCAGAGTCTGGCAGGTTTGGCTAAGGATTCAAACTTGTTTATTTAAGCAGAATGGAGGAATTGGAGGGATTCAAACTTGTTTATTTAGGCTAAGGATTCAAACTTATTTATTTAAGCAGAATGGAGGAATTGGAGGTTTGGGATTGGATAAGAATTTGTATGTCCAAGATTCTCATACCAAAGACAGATTTTTTTTTACCTTAACTGGTTTAAAGAAGCAAATTAGCTGAGATTAAAGGGAAACACCTAAACAGGAGCAAGAAAGATTTAATTTGGATGGACAGATGCATTTTTAGACAGAGGTCATAAAAGAACAGAATGCCTTTAAGGGAGCCTGCAAAACCCTGAATATATTTTTATAAAAGTAATACAGACTTGTCTAGGTTGCTGCGAATGTGCGTAATTCTTTTATAGCAGAGCAAAGGCTTGATCAGCATTCCTCAATCTCAAGTCTATTGTAAACCAACAGAATACTGAAAATCTTGAATAGAACCCATGGAGAAAGGTAAGGATGGGGAAGGATGGGTAAGAGAAGACAGAGCTGGGTATGGGAAAGACAGTGCAGCAGTGAGAAGGTCTTCATCGCAGGCCTGGTCAAGTATTACTGAAATGCCCCTCCTGCCAGCTCGAGTCTTTGTTCTCTCCTGGCTCAGAACTTCGTTCTCAGTCTTCTAATTCTTTTGTAAGTCAGTTTGGTTTTTCTCATTAGCTGCTCTCTCATGAGACCCACTTTTTTCTTCTTGATAGAAAAAGGAAAAGTAAACATGGTTGTTGTTGATAGCTCTGGACTATGACTAAGGAGGTCTGGGTCCTAGTTTAAGTGATTTCCTCCATTTACTTCCCAATAAGGCTGTTGGAATGCACCCTGACCTTCAGATGCGCCTTTTTGGTAAAAAGAAGAGTGTGATTTGACTTCAGTCTTTTATTTTAAAATTCCTTGATACTGCAATGTGATAAGTGGAAAACCATTATCAGGCTATGAAATAACAAAGAATCTCTGATATTCTTTCCTGGATAATTTTATCAAGTATGGCAAAGAATATAACTGTAGAGTCAATATGGTTGAATGAGTTTACTGTTGATGATAAGAATTTAGGCCTCAGTGTTCCTCTGGAACCTAATCAACTTTTTCCATAGGGGTTCCATCATCCACAACCATAGAGACCATTAGATATCCTACGCCTGGGTCACTCTGATGAGGCCTGGAGAGGGAAGCCTGGTGAGGCTGCTGGAGTCTCACCACATTTGAGGAAGGATGACCTCCTTGCCTATCTGTCAAGGTATCAGAATCTAGGCAGGGACTTAGGCTTCAAGGGTCTTCAAGGGGCCTAATGCAGCAGTAGGAGATATTTCAACTCAGGTGCCAACAGATCAGTAGTGGCTGTGTGGACTCAGTGGAACAGAATGCTGTTATCTATTGGGAATGTCTGCCTTAGGCTTGCAAAGGGGAAGAGCAGGTGCGTAGCCCAGGTATCTGCAGATCTAGACCAGACAAAGGCACGTGACTGATGAGAACACCCAAGCTGAACATTACATTTAGGAGGGGACAATATGTACAGTTAAAGTCACTAGCTATTTACAGCCAGCTTCCAAGATCTATCTACCGTCTGCTAAGACCAAAAAGTGAGGGAAATGCGGGTGTGATAGGCATCACTGCTCCTGCAGTCTTATGTGTGAGACTAACGTCAAGCTCTTCTCTCCCTACTAGGCCAAAAAGGAACCTATAGACACTGAAGAAATTAATCCTATGCACATATACTCCGATACTGTCAGAAAGCACAGCTCCTTCTGATAATAGTTATTTCTGTGCTTAAAACCCTTCAATGATTTGCTAGGCTTATGGAATAAATTCAGACATTTTAGTGTGACATTTGATCCTTCAAGATCTGGCCTGTTGAAGCATTACAGCCAGTGCCCTGCATTCATACACCCCAGGCACCAGCCAAAACAGAGTATCGAGCTCATGTGGACACACTCTATCTTCTCCTGCATCTTGTGGGTTCCTAAGCCTGTGGTCCTTCCTATCATGTATCTATCTATCTATCTATCTATCTATCATCTATCTATCATCTATCTATCTATCTATCATCCAACTATCTATCTATCTATCTATCTATCTATCTATCTATCTATCTATCTATCATCTATCTATCTATCTATCCATCCATCATCTATCCATCTACCCATCTATCTATCTATTCAATTTATTTATTTATATGAGTATGTATTCATTTATATTTATCTTATTGTGTATGTCATAATCCATTATTTATTTTATTGCTCAAACTATCCCAGATTTAGCCATTGGGTGCTCCTTTCAGTTGGCTTCTGCGCCCTTTTGACATGTCCACCTATTATTTTTTGAGCACTTTCTTACTTTCTGGCTCCACAACGTAGTCCAAGCTCATCTTGTATTTTCCCTGATACAGCCCTGGAATAAATCTTTTTTCCAAAGAGCCTTTCATTACAGAATGGTATTTAGAAACAAGATCTGGGAGCTAGATGTGTTCAATGTTACCAGAGTGTCATTGCTTCTCAGGCCCTCTCAGATGACAGAGCTGTGAAATCTATGTCTGTATAGTGCTACATGCACATGCACACATTTATTTTATATCTATCCATCTTCATATATATGTATACATTTCTGAATATGTGCATAAACTTATACTGACACTTTAAAATCTAACATAACACCCCTTGGTTCCTTCCAGTCCCCCCTATTTTCCTTATTTGTACCTCCTTTCTCCAATGGTGGGAAACCTCACTGTCATTATCCACCATACAAATTTATTTATTTGCTCAATCCTAGTACACATACAGTTTCAGAATTGCTAGCTCATTCCCTTGTGAAAAATAGTTACTAATTAGAGCACATTTTTTTATACAATTCTTTCTGTGTTTAGCTTTACACTGTTACTCCTGGCAGGGTTGCTCCTAGAGGAGCTCCTGGCTCAGGGATAGGGTCTCAGGCCTCCACATTACTGCAGAAGGAAGAGCTCCAGGCAATCAAAGAAACTGGCTTTTCCCACATTCAGAGCATCCACCTCTAGCTGGTATACCAGCCTGGACAAAGGAGAGAACGGGACTCTCAGTTAGGAAGATTTCCAGCAGATTCCAGAATTTGCCATCAACCCACAGGAGGACCAGATCATCAGTGTTTTCTTTCCAAATGGGGAGGACCGGGTGAACTTCCATGGATTCATAAGAATCTAGGCTCAGTTTGAACCCATTGACGA